GGGAAACTGATGCAGAAATCTATTTAAAGTGCTTCATATATGTATTTAGTACAAAGGTGTAATATGGAGAGTTATTGTGATACATTGTTTTTCTTATTTCAGACTCATCAGCTGCACAATTCACAACTATTACTGAGCATCAAAAGTGGATACCTACTAGTCCTTGGGGTAAGCTATACAGAATTTCCTTTTTTATGAAAAGCTTTAATCAACAATACTCCTGCACCTGCAGGACCATGGTGTTACTCAACTTTCATTCAGCTCACAATAACCTAGTAAAGGTTAGATTTCATTTGTCAGGTTTGCCAGCTTGTGAAACCTTAACAAGCAGATGTTAAACCTTAAATCCTGAAGGTCTGTGGCAGTGCATGCTATAGTAGAACTTCTCAATCGAGAAAAAAAATACCAAGATTTTACCAAGACTCACCATACAGTATGTACAGTTGCAAGAAAAAGTTTGTGAACCCTTTGGAATTACCTGGATTTCTGCAATGTGGTTTGATCTTCAACTAAGCTACAATAATAGACAAACACAATCTGCTTAAACTAACAACACACAATTGTACTTCTTCTTGTCAGTACTGAGTACATCGTTAAAACATTCGCCGTCCAGGTTGGAAAAAGTATGTGAACCCTTGTATTTAGTAATTGGTAGAACCTCTAGCAGCAATAATCTCAAACAAAGATCAGACCACATTTTTATGAGTAATTAATGCAGAGAACCAGGTAATTCCCAAAGGGGTCACAAACTTTTTCTTGCATCTGCATATTCTGTAATAACGATAATAAACTTTATTGTATATACCACCTTTAAAAGTAGCTTCTCAAAGTGCTTTAAAATAAGAAAAAAAGTTATTTGGTAGTTTTAAGAAGCATCTTTTCATGTGGGTTTCCTCCGGTTTTCTTCCACGGTCCAAAGACATGCTGGTAGGTTAAGTGGCTTCTCTGAAAAATGTGTGCATTACCGTTTGTTTGCATCCCACTTTGTGCCTATAGCTTGGTGGGTTAGGTTCTGGCATCCCCTGTGACCCTGCACTGGATAGAGCAGTTTAGAAAATGAATTAATGAAAAACTCTCTATATATAAATCCACAGCACATGAACACTTCAAACTTCATAAAGTCAGTATCTCTGTAGTACATAATGTATTGGCTTTGTACAGTATATATAATCTATTATACACAATTGGGGGGCCAGTAAATCCACCACTGAGGTGCATCACCCATGTGGACAACAATTGGCAGGCATTATGTCAGCGGATCCATTACACAGCACATCAGTGCATCTCACAAAGACAGTTTGTCATACTGCAGGCCTGCAGCTGCCTAGGAAGAATAAACGCATTCCCATGAGAAATCACAGCTGTCCCATGGATCAAAGACGTGGTCGGGTTGGCTTTCCATCCATTCGTTTTTCCCCACTAATCATGCACCCAATAATTCCTTATTGCCACTGAAGGGGGGTTCCATCTTTGATCTCTCACTGGCAATACAGTTCTGATCGCACTCCTCTCTGGACATGCTAGCACACCCTTTTCAGTTAGCGGATCCCTGAACTAGTCTAAGTCTTGGACAATGAGTACTTGCTCAGTGTCGTCAATCCCAGTCAGCAGCCAGCCATTTCCACAGTTGGAAGCCAACTTCTGCTGTGACTATAACAGCTGCTTTCCTAGTCAGCAGCAA